CCTGAGGTGCAGGAAGGATCTTCACCTCTGGAGCGATCAGCAAACAAGCTGCATCCTCCATGACATTCCTTAGATGGATTTCCCAGCTCCTCAGGAAGGGATGAGGCTTCCTGGCTGTGACCTCCTGGGAGCTGGGTGTGTCAGGCCATTCTGGAGGCACTGAGATGCCTGCAGTGGGTTGTTTTTAAATGCTGAGGTGGAATGGTGGAAGCAGTGGAGGTGCCCATGGCACTGGGTGTGCAGCTGGGAGGGTCTGCAGAGGACTGTCACAGGCTTCTTTTATGGAAAATCCTTTCCTAGGATTTTTCCTCCTGAGAAGCTGAGAAACCTCAGGAACAAAATGTAAACATTGGTTATCTGCTGCTGTGGAATGCAACAGGTGCATCTGTGATTGGTCTTATGTGGTTGTTTGTAATTAATGGCCAATCACAGTCAGCTGGCTCAGACAGAGAGTCCAAGCCACAAACCTTTGTTATCATTCTTTCTTTTTCTATTCTTAGCCAGCCTTCTGAAGAAATCCTTTCTTCTGTTCTTTTAGTATAGTTTTAATGTAATATATATGATAAAATAATAAATCAGCCTTCTGAAACATGGAGTCAGATCCTCATCTCTTCCCTCATCCTCAGACCCCTGTGAACACTGTCACAGAGGACCCCTGGGTGGGAAATGGATTTGTAGGGAATCCTCAAAACCTGACAGAAGGCTCACACAGTGTGCATCTGTGTGCAAACCTTGAGATAAGAAATGCTGACTTAGAAATGCCGTGGGATAAGACAGACATTGCTGAGAGAAAAATGGAGCTAGAAACAAGTTTGGATGTATATAAGATATATAATATATATATATATATATGGGGTTTTTTGTAAAGGATGGCCTTGCAAAAAAACCCCATATATATATAGGATATATCTATATGATATATATCATATAGATATATATGTATGGAGAAAAAATCCTGGGCAAAGAGGATTTTTCAGAAAATATGGCAGTGACAGGAGGGAGCTCGCTGCCCTGGGCACAGGAACCATGCCAGGGAGGCAGGACAGCCACCTCAGCACATCCTGAGGGAGTAAATAATTCAGAGATTGTTTCCTTACAGTGGGAGTGAGGCAGAGCTGCTGGAAACCTTTCTGACCACAGCCAAGGGAAAAAACCACAAATATTTCAGCAGGTGACACCCTCATCCTGCATGGCTTGCAGAGCTTCCATGGGGATGGAAGAGCAGAGACACAGGAAATTCCAAGGCCCCTGGCTTGTTTTGTGAGGGTGCAGCGTCCCCTGAGAGATGGCAGTTGTGTCACAGATCCCTCCAATAACACCAGAATTTTCCCTGAGCTGTATCTTTGTGCAGAGAGAATGCCTGGACAGCAGGATGGGGAGGGATAGGAGACACCCAGGGCTCCTTGTCCTCTCCCAGGGCTATTCCTGCCTCTTGTTTTGCTCCAAGCCCAGCTTAATCCATCCTCATTAAAATCAGTGGCAAGAGTGTCCTTTTGCTACTGGGTTTGATTTCACATCCAACACCACAGTGAGTGATTTTCTTTTTTTCCTTGCAGATCTCTCTGATCTTTTGCCCCTCTCCTTTCAGCATCCTCAGTCTCACAGCTTTTCTTGGAGGTTTTTTCCTTTAAATTTCTCTCAGTTTCCTGAAATGCATCTTTCCCTGTATCGATTTCACGTGAGATCTGAGGGAGGGCAGAGCAGGAGGCTCAGCTGACTCCCATGCACACTCACAGCTCATCAAAGCAAGCACAGAGCCCTGTGAGCTGCACAGCCCCTGGGCTTAGCAGCTGGCCTCATGGGAGGGAGGAATTAATCTCTTTAGGCAGCATTCCTGAATTTATATGTCCATCCACGCTGCTGGTTACATGGAGTTATCACTCTTTGCTAGAGCATCTTTGTTTTCAATCATCTCCTGAACATGCTGCAATGGCACTTCTGGGAGTGTGGGCTGGGCTGGGGGAAGGGGAGTGCTTGTGAGAGCTGGGTTTGGGTTTTTTATAAATTCCTCTTGCAAAATCACTGCTTAAAATGATTTGGAAGAAAAAGAGAGATGGTGGGTTGTGGGAATTCAGGACATTGCTCTGCCTGCCCTGGAGTACTCCAGACCCTGGCAGGGGGCTCAGAGACCTTGGCACAGAGTCACAAACACCTGTGCCTTTGATTTTAGCCCATGGAAAAAATTACTAACCTTATATGAAGATTTACAAGCCATGATTTTAATTAGAATGATAATTAATTTGTCACAGGGTGGAAAAGTAGAATTTTGGGGTTTTTAGAATGGGGGTTCAGAAGCCAAGATGGAGGAATCTGGGCATGTCCTGTCCTTCTTCTTTCTTCTTCTTCTTGTCCTCCATCTTCTGCTGTGATGGTGACACTTCTGGATTGGTTTAGAGTAGAGACAGACTGTCTAACATAGGTGATGGGTATTGGAATATTATTGTAAATAAAGTACGTGTAGTTCTTAGTATAAAAAGCCAACACCACCCCAAGGGCAGGGACTGTGCCACAACCCAACCTGCTGGACAGATCTCAGCAGGTGAGAGAGAGAATGGAATAGATAACAGAAAATAAAAGAACCTTGAAAAGCAGAACTGAAGAATCCTGACTCCTTCTTGGATTGCAGGGCTGGGAAAAAGAGACTTTTAATACCTTGGGGTCATCTCAACCACAGAGAATCTGAGAGTGGGGGAAGAAGAAGACAAAGAGAAGAGGAAGAAGAGAAGAAATAGAAGAAGAAGAAATAGAGGAAATGAGTTGCTGGTGGCAGCAGTGACCCAGGGAGCGGCACACACCCCTGTGGGGCTGTCAGTGAGGTTGCACCAAGCCAGGATGCTGGCTGTGCCTCAGTTTCTCTGTCCGGCTTGTCTGGTAGCTCCATGCTGGAGAGGGCTCTGTGTTCCCCCAGGGCTGCCAGCCCTGTCACACGCCTGTCACCACCGTGTCTGGCTCCTGCCTGGGGACAGGATTCTGGCGCTGGTTCTGGGGAGGAGTCAGAGATGAAACAAGCCCCCTCAGGCAGTTCATTTTCCCTCTCTGCCTTGCTGCTCCACCCTATCTAGAGGGTCCCATCCACCCTGTGACCTTGTTGCATTTCTGGGAGCAGATCTGGCCCCTCCTTTCCCTTTTCCCCAGCACCCAAGGCTGATTGCAGAGCTGTGGGACTCTTTCAGAAAGAGCAGCATTTCTTTAATAAGTTTTCCCTGCAATGACCCTTCAGTGGCACCTCCTTAGAACAGCACTTGCCACCATGACAGATTTCCTTTCCCACCACTGCTTCAGGCTGGGGTCTCCAATGCCAGCCAGACCCTGGACATTTCTCCAGAGGAAAATCAAGCTGCTGCAAAGCAGGGAAAAGCTAACAGAGGGCAGATTTCCCCTTTGCAGTTTGCTTTAAGGTGTTATCACATCCACCGGCAGTCATCCCAAGCCATGAAAGCAGGAAGGTGCTCTAACATCACATTATTGTCAGTGGGGATTCCCTTTTATCTTCACATCTTCAGGATGCATGAGAGATCTTTCATACTCCTCAGCTTGCTTATTCCGCAGCCTGAATGTCCCAAATTCCTGGAGTTTCCCCAGACAGACACCCTCAGCAAAGGTTTGACTTCTCTGGGAGCACATCTTTGCTCAGCCCCTGTGTCAGGTGGTTACAATTGCTTTAGGAAGGGCCATTCCTTGCTCTCTCATTTGTAACATAACAGCCTGGGGTTTGGTTATTATTGCTGTTTTTAGCTGCTGTTGGCTTTTCCTTGTTACTTTTTTGATAGATGGGTTCAATTTTGCTGGCAGGTCGCTCAGGTTTGCAAAGCAGATGCTGCTGCTGCAGGACAGGGACCATTCACCCCACACGGGGTCAGAGCCAAGGGAGCAGGGTATGGGGGCTGCAGCTGCCAGGAGAGCTGCTGGTGGCATGGTGGGGAACCTCAGAGGGGCTGCAGCCACCCCCAGCCCCCCTGGGAAGGATGGGACCATGGCAGATCAGCTGTGGAGAGGGAAACTGCTGAGGATGGGTTTGTGTGTCACCACATGATGGGTGGGAATCTGGTGGTTTGTAGATGCTGCTGAGAAGGCTGGCCTAGAACAGAGGCCAAAGAGTTAAAGAATAAAGCAGGGATTTATTAGAAGGATCTCCTCAATGGATCCACCAGGGCTGCACCCAAGATGAACCAAAATGGCCCCAAAATGCACGACCGGGCACGGGGTCTCTCACTGTGATCAGTTCTGCTCCATTTGCATCTTGCAGTTCATTGTCCCATTCCAGCTTTAGCCCATCCAGTCCCATCCTTGTTTTTCTCTCTCCAGCCCACGGTGTTTGTGCTCTTGGGCTGAGATTTGGATCATTTGTCCTTGGTGCCCAGCTGGAGCAGGAATTGTTTTGTCTCCCTGCTCTGTGCACAGAGCTCACCATCCCCTGATGTGAACCCAGACCCACACACTAAAGCAGCACAGAATCTGAAAAATAGAAAAGCTCAAACCTGAGGCATCCCTGGCTCTGGGTGTGGTGTAGCAGTGATGTGTGTGAGGGATGGGATGTGGTGTGGCAGGCAAGAGGGATGAGGAGGACAAGGAGAGGAGCTGGGAGTCACCTGCTCCTGTGGCTCCTACACCTCATTTGGGTAAACAATTTCCACATTGCATTCCACTTTGGCACAACACAGGCACAGCAAGCGAGATAAGAATAGTGTTTTCCTTTTTCCTTTCCTTTCCTTTCCTTTCCTTTCCTTTCCTTTCCTTTCCTTTCCTTTCCTTTCCCTCTTTTTCTCTTTCTCTTTCTCTTTCTCTTTCTCTTTCTCTTTCTCTTTCTCTTTCTCTTTCTCCTTCTCCTTCTCCTCCTTCTCCTTCTCCTTCTCCTTCTCCTTCTCCTTCTCCTTCTCCTTTTTCCTTCATCCAAGAGATAAGAATTGTGTTTCCCTTCTTCTCAGCTTGTCTCTCTATTCAGAGGGCAGGTGAACCCCACACATTTTGTCACTGACACGTCCCTCATTCCCCCTCTGCAGGGAGCTGATGCCCAGGACCCTGGAGGGGCAGATCACCATGGAGAAGACCCCCAGCTACTTTGTCACCAAGGAGGCGCCAGCCCGCATCTCCTCCATGAGCAAGGGCACCAAGCTGATCGTGGTGGTGCGCGACCCCGTCACCAGAGCCATCTCGGACTACACCCAGACCCTCTCCAAGAAGCCTGACATCCCCACCTTTGAAAGCCTGACCTTCAAAAACAGGACTACAGGCCTCATAGACACCTCGTGGAGCGCCATCCAGATCGGCATCTACGCCAAGCACCTGGAGAACTGGCTGCTGCACTTCCCCATCGGGCAGATCCTCTTTGTCAGCGGGGAGAGGCTCATCAGGGACCCCGCGGGGGAGCTGGGCAGGGTCCAGGACTTCCTGGGCCTCAAGAGGATCATCACGGACAAACACTTCTACTTCAACAAAACCAAGGGCTTCCCGTGCCTGAAGAAGGCGGAGGGCAGCAGCAAACCCCACTGCCTGGGCAAGACCAAGGGCAGGACCCACCCTGACATCGACCAGGACGTGGTGCAGAGGCTGAGGGACTTCTACAGGCCCTTCAACATGAAGTTCTACCAGATGACAGGGCAGGACTTCGGCTGGGACTGAGGCTGAAAGAAATAATTTAAGAAAAGGAAAATATAATATAATATATATCTATTTTTTTTACCTATCAGTAGAGAGGCGGGGGGGGGAAATAATGGGGAGAAAAAAATAATAGCTGTGCTGAAACACACTTTGGTTTTTATCTTTTTTGTTACACTGCTTTGTTTCCTTTCTTCTCTCAGAGAAAAGGGGCTGTGCACACCCAGAAAAGGAGGCTGTGGAGAAACAGCCTGGTCCCAATGACATGAGCAGCTTCCCTCAATGTTTTTTTTCCCCTCTGTAAAAAAACACAGGTGCAAAGTTTTTAGCAGTGACAGGGGTGCTGGGGGCAGCTCAGAGTCTTCCTGAAAGTTCAGCCAGGTTTTGCCTTGTAAGGGCCATTTTGGCCAGACCTCACCACTTTTGACAATAAAACAAAGGTGGCTTAATACCTAATTTGGCTTTCCAAATGTTACCTTAGGGGATTTTTTTTATTGCATGAAACATTTGGTGAATTTTGCTTCCACTTATCCAATTTTTTTGTTTTACTTTTACCCCCCTTTAAATCAAGCTCTTTTCATCAGCCGAGCTTATTTTTGCTCTTAAGGAAGCCAAAACCAATAATCCTTTGTTTTGTTTTGAGAGAAAATAATTTTGGTAGCCAAAAGTGAAAGAACACAAACGATTCTTTTGACTCTATAATGAAAATTGCCAGGTAGTCAAAAGCCTCATTCACAGGAGCTGGCTCTAAACCAGGGCTCCCTACTGCATCCCTTTTGCTACTCTGACAGCAAAATAGTTTTTTAAGGGTTTTTTTTCTAAGAGGGGCCCATCTGAAGGGATTTTGGGGATGGGAAGGAGGTTCCACACTGAGATGATGCTCATGGCACACCCTGAAGGTGTTTGGGGCACCCACCATCCCACCAGGGATGTGCAGGAAACTCCTTGGTGTCCAGTGGACATGGTGTAAGCCATAATGAGGAATGTTTTAAGTTGGGCCAGTCTTAAATAGACTGGAGGAAGGGTTGGTGGGGAAAAGGTCAACAATAATCATGTCCAGAAAGAGGAATTAGAAAACAGTAGTTCTTTCCTAAAGGAGAACTGAGGGGGAACCTTGAAGGTTGTGAAGTGTGCCAGGCAAAACCTTTACCACGTGTTTTTAGCTGGTAGAAATGTTTCAATGACAGAAATCTTAGTGAAGCAGAGTCTTTTATTCCATGGGCTCATTTATCTGCTGGCTCTTGATCTTCAGCATTTCTGAGCTCTGGGGGTACCCAGTGACACCTTGGTGCTGCATAAACCACATGGGAATGCTCCCTGTCCTGAGCCCTGCTCTGAAGGGGTAAAACCTGAGGGGGTAAAACAAACTGTGTGGGATCCCCCAGGAATGTGGTGAGGAAGGAGCCTGGGGATGAAGTTCACTGGCTGCCTGCATACCAGCAAAAATATTCATAAAATCCCGGCAGAGCAGAAATTTCAGAGTCCAGAGAGAATTGGAGCAGAGTCACAATTTCACCTGAGAGGGAGGCAGTTCTACGTTGGAAAGTTAGGAAAAGGGTTTGGGCACCCTCTCAGCCTCATGGCACTGAGTTCCTCTGCATGTGCTGAGCCACAGTTTCTCCTGGCTGCCCTGAACCACCTTCCTGCTCAGCCCTACACATCTCCTGTTCCCAAAGATGAGCCCTGGAACCTTCCCATGCCCTGAAGACACAAACCCACAGGGTTTTGCCTGCCAGGCCCCTTTCCCAAGGGGATCAAACAGCTTCATTGAGCTCCTGAGGCCCCTGGAGCTTCTCCCACAGCAGGGCTGAGCCTGACCCAGGTTTCCATGCCCCAGCTGTACAGAAGTGCTGCTGGGCTGGTGGCACCAAAACCAGGCTGTGCTCAGCCCTCTGCCCTGGTGTGGCACAGCTCAGTGCCATGTTCACCCCCTCCACTGCTGCTTTCACCTCTTCCCCCATTTATGTCCCATTTTAAGGCCTTTTTTGGCAATGTCACATCTGCACAAACACAACACCTGAGAAGAAAGGAGGATGAGGCAGCACACAGACCCAACATCCCTTCTCCTGCCTCCCTCCCTTCAGCCTCTCAAAATTCAGGCAAGACATGACCTGAGAAGATCAGAGATGGTCACAGAGGTGGCACCATGGTCCCTCCCAGCATCAGAAGCCGGGAGAACATTGGGTTCTTCATAATGGTGTCACATTATTCCTTCCCACAGGAGGTGAGGGGAGCAATCTGCCTGTGCTGGTCAGAATGGGCATGAGCTGTACCCAAAAGGATGGTGGGGAATTATTGGAACAAATATTCCAAGAGCAAGGTTTTGGGGCAGGAATGGGGATGGACAGCCCCCCATGCTGTGCTCTTTATTCACATGGAAAAACCAAAGTGGTAGCAAGGGTGAGGCATCAGTCACTCACAGGCATAATCAAACAGTGCCAGAACCAGTAAGGCACAAAATCTGAGGTCTTCCAGCTGAAAAGAAGATTTTAACATGCCATTTCTTTGGTATTTCAAGGAGAATGAAGGTTGGGATAATACAGACATAGCTTTCACAAGTTATTGTGGTTTAAGCCCAGCTGGGATCTCAGCCCCACTCACTCCACAGGTGAGACACAGAGAGAATTGGAAAAGTAAATCTAAGGAAACCTGAGGGTTGAGATAAAGACAATTTAATAGGTAAAGCAAAAGCAAAGCAAACCAATAAATTAATTCCAGGCTTCCCATGGGTGCTCAAACACTCAACCCCAGGACAGCAGAGCTCCCTCACATTTGGAATGGCGACTTGAGAAGACAAACACCATCACTCCAAAAATTCCCTGCTTCCTTCTTTTATATGCTGAGCATGATGTCATATGGTCTGGAATATCCATATCCAATATGAGCATGATGTCATATGGTCTGGGATATCCCTTGCATCCACCAGGCTCAGCTGTCCTGGCTGTGTCCCCTCCCAGCTCCTTGTGCATCCCCATTTTCCCCACTGGAGGAGCAGGAAAAGCCTTGATGCTCTGTAAGAACTGCTCAGCCCCACTGAAAACACCCCTGGGTTATCAGCACTGCTCCCAGCACAAACCCAAACCACAGTCCTGTGAACAAAATGAACCCTGCCCCAGCCAAAACCAGCAGACAAATACAAACATCACTTAGGAGTGTGATGCTTTAAAAAATCAATAGAGTTATATTGCTGTTTTCTCCCACACGGTCACATTTGCACTGCCATAAAGCAGCTTTATAGGGCCACAGACTGGGCTCCCATATTGCACAAGCTGCAGCAATACCAAACATTTTTTACAGCTGAATATCTGCACCTGCCATTAAATCAGCAGAGCCTTGATATGTACAAAAACCCATCAAATGTGCCTTTAAAACTCTTCCCAGCACATCAAGCTCAGCCACTTAGGAATCCTTTCCCCTAAATGCTTCAATGTTTTGCTCTCCTTCATTTCCAGGGGTTTGAATACCTTGTTGCACACCTTGTAAAGCTATTTAGGGATCTGGGGCTGTGATTGATTGCTTTTGATCTGGGCCATAAGTAGTTTGGAAAATCCCTCCATGTATGAACAATGGCTTTTAAAAAGAGGTCATGCAACCAAATTGCTTTGAACTCTAATAGCATTTAAGCCTCTAAACTCTTTAGGCTTATTTGAAAATCCAGCCATGAAGTTTAGATTATTTTAACCTTAAGAAGAATTGGGAGGTAAACTATTGAAAACCACATCCCTCCTGGGCCTGCAGTGCTGGGCATATGTATTGGAGGGGAAATCAAAAGTAGCTATAAATAAAAAAGTGTTTTCCTTTAAAAAAAAACCCGAAAAATCTAAACATTAACTATGAGAAAATAATTAAGTTATTAAAAGGCTTCTGGTCTCAATAATCAAATCTGCCATTAAGGCATTGATGAAGCTCAGGCTTATATGTGATGCAACATTTGGATTTTAGAACAAAATCCAAATTTTGGATTTGTTTTAAGGGAAAAAAAAAACAACCCACACCAACCTTTCTATCAGCATCAAATGTCAAATTGATCATAAATTTTACAAAGTGAGGCCTGGGTTGCCCAGGTGGTGGATTCCCTGGAAGTGTCTGAGGCCAGATTGGCCTTGCAGCATCCTGGGGTCGTGGAAGGGAATGAGATCAGCTTTGTGGTGGATTCCAGTCCAAACCATGCCCTGGTTCCATGATCTTTGAGGAGACAGACAGAGCCACAGATGGCACCACACAGCAGAGAACACAGCAGTGTGGGTTTGGGTGTGCTGAGCACCAGGATTGCCCCAAAATCTTCTGTGACGGCGTTCACAGGGGTCTGAGGATGAGGGAAGAGATGAGGATCTGACTCCATGTTTCAGAAGGCTGATTTATTATTTTATGATATATATGACATTAAAACTATACTAAAAGAATAGAAGAAAAGGTTTCATCAGAAGGCTGGCTAAGAATAGAATAGCCAAGAAGAATGATAACAAAGGCAGCTGTCTGGGACTCTCTGTCTGAGCCAGCTGACTGTGATTTGCCATTAATTAGAAACAACCACATGAGACCAATCAGAGATGCACCTGTTGCATTCCACAACAGCAGATAACCATTGTTTACATTTTGTTCCTGAGGTTTCTCAGCTTCTCAGGAGGAAAAAATCCTAAGGAAAGGATTTTTCATAAAAAGATGTCTGCGACAGTCTTCAGAAATCATTTTTTCCCCCACTTCTGTTGACATGCTTTGGCACAGGCTCGTGGAGCCCAGTCCATTGAAGGTGAGATCTCCCTTTAACCCATCAGCAACAGCTTTCAGCCAAACCTGGAGGGTGAGGAAGCTCTTTGCTCTCTGTTTCAACTGAAAAAATCAGAGAAATGGGGTTTTCTTTACCAGCGCAGTTTGGCAAGGCAATGCCAGGTGTGTGTGCTGCTGTGAAATCCATCCCTGGGATTCCTGGCAGGGGCTGCTGTGCCCGTGGGATCCTTGGTGCTGATTTTGTGCCACAGGGAATTTTATCCTCAGCTGCTGTGGAAGTGCTGCCACTCCATGAT